CCCCTGACTCTGTGGGGTGACCCCAGAACCCCCTGACTGTGTGCAGTGTCCCCATCACCCCCCCACTGGGGACTCTCCAGGCTGTCCCCATCACCCCTGACTGTGCAGGGTGACCCCAGAACGCCCTGACTCTGTCCCCATCACCCCTGACTCTGTGGGGTGACCCCAGAACCCCCTGACTGTGCAGGGTGACCCCAGCAGGGTGTCCCCATCACTCCCAACTCTGCAGGGTGACCCCACCACCCCTGACTCTGTGCAGTGACCCCAGCACCCCCAACTCTCCAGGTGTCCCCAGCACCCGTCTCACCTGCGGAGGGGTGACAAAGGCCAGCCAGTCGGAGGGGCGGGTGGGCAGCAGCCCCATGGCCTGGCACTTGTAGAGGGCCAGTGCCAGCCCCAGCCCGTTGCCCACCAGGAACACGAGCCCCTGCAGCGCCCGCCGGCTGGAGCTCTCCAGGGCCTTCAGGGCTGGGAACACAGTGGGGCCTCTCAGTGACACCCATGGTGCTGCTGGCATGGGGCAGGGGGTGGGCAGCACCACGGGGGGTGCTGGCCATAGGGGAATGGTGTGGGGGTCACTGTGGGGCTGTGGGAGACATCTGGTCATCCAGGGGGATGTGGGGACACCATGGGGGCTGTGGGGACACCACGGGGGCTGTGGCACTACTGGGGATTGTGGGAACACCCAGGGGACTGCAGGGACACCCATGGGCCTGTGGGATACCCAGGGGATTGAGGGACACCCAGGGAGATGTGGCACATTCAGAAGGCTGTGGGGACACCCAGGGACACCCAGGGCTCCGCAGGGGACACCCAGGGCTGTCCCCGTGGAGTTGTCCCCACACTGGGGCTGCACTCACTGGCAGACAGGGACATGAGGGCCTGCAGCGGGCGCCAGCCCATCATGCAGACCATCATGGCCGGGAAGATGGAGATGGTGTTGCCGGCCATGTACATGATGAACAGGTTCATGGGGATCTGCTTCAGCGGCGCCAGAGCCACGTCCCAGCAGCGCTGCAAACACAGAGGGTCATGGGGGGGCATCCGGACACGGCATTTGGGGGATCCCAGGGTGGGCAGGGGGACACGGCATTTGGGGACCCAGGGAGGGTGTGGGGACNGCTGGGTCCAGCTCGGGCCCCTCAGCTCAGGCAGGGCCCTGAGGGGCTGGAGAGTGTCCAGGAACGGAGCTGGGAAGGGAATGCAGCCCCAGGAGAGGCTGAGGGAGCTGGGAAGGGGCTCAGGTGGAGAAAAGGAGGCTCAGGGGGGCCCTCTGGCTCTGCACAGCGCCTGACAATGCTGCCAGATGAAGAATGGATTGCACCTGGTGGGTTAATACAATGGTCTTTTAGGGAAAGCATTAGACTATGGAAGTGCACAATCCAAAGCACAATAAACATTAACCAAGGAAAGGAGTGAGAAGCTCCACTCCACTGATTCCAAGCCTCACCAGTTACTGAGCTAGGCCAGCTCTGCCAGCCTTTCTCCTCTGGGCACAGCAGCACCAGTGCACTGAGTGCTCAGACACAGCTGGGGGGGCACTGGCCAAAGACACCCTGGGACAGGAGGACACGTGTGCCATCGGGGCCACCAGAGACACCCCGGGACAGGAGCAGAGGGAACTTCTGGGCCAGGGCAGCTCAGGGTGGGCACAGCAGGAATTTCCCCATGGAAAGGGGGCTCAGGAGCTGCCCTGGCACTGCCCAGGGCGGGTTGGAGTGCCCAGCGCTGCAGGTGGCACTCAGAGCTCTGGGCTGGGGACAAGGTGGGGATGGGGCACAGCTGGGACTCCATGGCCTGGGGGGGATTTTCCAAGCTGGATGATCCCGTGGGAGCTGTGGCCAGGGGGAAATGCTGTGCTGGGGTGCCTGGTGACGCCCTGGGACATGCACAGCCCTCAGCTCAGTGAGGTGTGGAAGAATAGCTACATGACAAAAACCACAGAAACATCCTCTAAATAGCCAACCAAGAACTGGACAAGTACCAGAGCCAGCCAATCTGAGTCCCTGCAGCTGCAGGGACACTGTGGCCTTGAGCATAGCTGTATGACAGTAACAAGGTGCTGTGGTTGAGAGAGAGACATGAGAAAAAGAAGATGTAAGATATAAAGAATGAGGAAGTAAGAGAGGAGCTGATAATTATGGCATAACCATACACAATATGTATGAGCTTATGACTTGTTGTGCATGAATGTCTGATGCTCTCATCAATAAACGAAGCTTGCTGAGCTCATATTGAGTGTCCCAGTTTTCCCTCACTGCGACAGTGAGGGGTGACACCGCCCTGTCCCCACTGCACAGCCCTGCCCCATCCCTGCCCCAGTGCAGCCCCACTGGCAGCACTGGGAGCTGCTGGGATGGACTGGGACTGGGCTCTGGGCTGTGGTAACGTCATCCTGGAGTCCTGGATCACACTCAAAGGCTGCAGAGGGCACAAGGCTGTACTGGGAGACACTGGTCCACACTGGAAAGGAAAGGTTTGGGCTCTACTTGGAGCAGCAATGGAAGAAATTACTGCAAAAGTGGGGGAAAAAGTATCAAAGAGCAAGGGAAAAGGGCAAAACCAGGGCACAAATGGGCAATAAGTGGTGAGAAAAACCCTGAAAATGGGGAAACTACCCCAGTAAAATGGTGAGATGTGGCAGAAACCAGCAGTGTGGGCACAGCCAGCACCATCCCAGTGCGGGCCCAGTGCTCCCAGTACAATACTGGTCTGCACCACAGGTCCTGTGGCACAATCCCAGTAAGGGCTGCCACAGTCCCAGTAGGTGCTCAGTGCCTCCAACACACCACCAGCACTCCCAGCACAGTGCTGGGGAACCACAGATCTTCAGGCAGGCTCCCAGGATGGCCCCAGTGCTCCCAGTGTGACACCACCATGACCTACAGTCAGATCCTGATGCTGATGTGATCCCCAGTGCTCCCAGTATGAACCCAGTGCTTCCAGCACAGAGCCAGCCTCAGGCTGCAGCTCTCCCCAAGCATGCCACAAGTATATTCCCAGTGTTTCCAGCATGGCTCCCAGTATGGGTCCTGTGGCTCTGAGAGCAGCTCCAGTGCACGCCCCAGAGCTCCCAGTGCTCCCAGTGCAGGTCCCAAGGTTCCCAGGGCACTCCCAGTGCTGTCCCAGTGTCCCCAGTA